CTCGATCCCAGGACCCTGGGATCATGACCTGAGCTGAAGGCAGACGCTTAACCGACTGAGCCACCCAGGCGTCCCTAATTCCCCCTTTATTAACATGACAGAGAAAACAGAATTTACAATCTGTGAAAATTCTTCTGGTGGTGATTGCGGTAGAAGTGTTGAAAATAAATGTTCCCACCATTTTACGTGCCATATCTAAGAAATGAATTAACTCACAAGAGTGAGGTCACCCGGCCTTGTCTCTCACTGTTGCTAGCTGCCAACAGCCGTGTTAATTCCACCAGAAACTGCATGTTACACATTTGTAAGTCATTGGTCCTTACGATAACTTAACACATTAGATCCAGCAGCCGACTGAACCTTTAGTAAGTATTTACTCACAGTTAGAATTGTATTGGCTATAGGGTGGTTTTTTCATCAAATATTTTGTCTTTATAACAGTCAGATAATTCCAATCCAGTGATGAGTCAGTATCATCCCATAGCATTTTAAGTCATATATAAACTGATTATATTATTTTTGATTTTCAGTAGCATCCTTCTTCATAAAGTAACCAACGATGCTTCCGTTATACTTCTTAAAATAGTATATCACTTAATAATCTTCAGGTATGTTTTGGCATTATAATCTTTATCCAATATCTTACCTCAGCTCTTAACTGGTAGATCAGTCTATCCTTGCTGTTTTGAGATTTTGATTCTTCCTTTATATCTCCTGATAGTTCTTCCATTTCATTTTCATGCTGACCAGGAATAATGTTAAACTGAAAAAAAAAAAAGGTTAAAATTATAATCACATGATGCTACAAAGGCTGGCTCCAGGATAATCCACATTCGTCTTTCGTTTTGCTTTTAGTTTAGTTTAGTTTTTTGTTCGTTTGTTTTTTTATGTGGATTCTGGCAGGTTTTATTGTTGCTGTGGTAATTAATGTAGTTAAACCATTTATTTCTTATATTTGAAAAATTCTCGGTTATTAGAAAACAAATCAGCAAATTTCCATAAATTCAAACTCATCAATTGAAAAAATTGGGCAAAACTTGGTTACCACAAAGAATCCTGGAAATTGAACAACTGGATTCTAAACAAATCCAATTAATACTGATCTTTCTTTTTTTTAAAGATTTTATTTATTTATTTGACAGAGAGAGACAGCGAGAGAGGGAACACAAGCAGGGGGGGTGGGAGAGGGAGAAGCAGGCTTCCTGCCGAGCAAGGAGCCCGATGCGGGGCTCGATCCCAGGACCTTGGGACCATGACCTGAGCCAAAGGCAGACGCTTAACGACCAAGCCACCCAGGTGCCCCAATTAATACTGATCTTACAGTCTTGAATATCTGTAATACAGGACTCTTTGTAATCCTATTTAATGTCTATTTTTTATGAAGTCTAAGGAGTATATAGATTATAACAGAGGCAAACTTGGGCAATGGAAAAATACATCTATACAATGCTAGAACTGGTAAAAATATGTTTGTTAAAGATGCCAATAAATTAGCAGGAAAACAGGATAAATAAACTATGGCATATCCAGATAATGGAATATTATTCAGCACTAAAAAGCCAAGAAAAGACATGGAGGAAACTTAAATATATATTACTAAGTGAAAAAAGCCAATCTGAAAAGGCTATTTACTGTATAATTTTAATTATGTGACATTCTGGAAAAGGCAAAACCATGGAGACAATATAAAATCAGTGGTTTTCAGGGCTGCAGGGAGGAAGAGATGAATAGGTGGAGCATAGAGATTTTTAGGGCAGCGAAACTATTTGGTATATCACTGGTGGATACATGTCATTATACATTTGTCTAAACCCAGAGAATGCACAACACCAAGAGTACACGCTAAGGTAAACTATGGACAGTGATGTGTCAATGTAGGTTCATCATTTGTAACAAATGTACCACCATGGCGGAGGACACCGATAACAGAGAAGGGTGTGCTTAAGTGGAGACAGGGAGCATATGGGAAACGTATGTATCTTCCACTCAATTTTGCTGTGAATCTAAAACTGCTCTAAAAAATAGTCTACAAAAAGAAACATAGGAATGTGAGAAAAATACTGGAAACGCACAGTAATTTTTCCCCCTAGCTGTTCTTATAGTTTTCAGCAGAAACACAAATTTTGATAAACCTATACAATGTGTAATACATACACATATGTTTGTTTTGGTAACTTATATTTTCCCCTAAAATATGTAGGTAAATATTTTCAGAATTTATATAATTTGTAAGTAATCCCACAATAAATTAGAAAATAAAAGCAAACATTATACTACCTATTTATCATTAAAAATTATTACTCATAACATTACCATTGTTAATAGTAATATTAAGTATGCACTAGTCTCTAGGAACTGGACTTGATATGTATTTCCTTAGTTAAATGTAGAGTAATCCTGTGTTAGGTACTATCTTTACCTTAAAGGAAAATAAGCCGTATTTTTGCTAGGCTTAAGTAACTTCCCCAAATTCACATAGCTAGTAACCGGAAGAAGCACATTTTAAGGATGTTCTTGCCAAATTCATTACCTGAGTTCTTAGTCATAAACCAGCAGCTAGCTACATCTATACTTATAAAGATAAAAGCCATCGTATAGCTTACTGGAAGGCAAAAAGCTTATAGCCACATGCTAGAAATGAACTACAATGGTGTTAGGGGGCTGATATGCCAAGTACAGAGAGGCTCCTTGTTCAGAGGTAGTAACATGGAGAACGCACCATGGAAGGCAAGTGTGGAACAGGACACAATACCATGGGGTTCAGCCAAAGTCTGTCTATGCATGTTTCACCCCACTTTGATGTAAAGACACAATGTGGCATTCATCTCTGGCTAAAATAAAAGAAAGTCACTTTGCTAGAGAAAATAATGAATTGCAAGGATAAAATCAAAGCAATCAAAGCATCAGGTTTTGGTTTGAGTTCACCAAAGTAAAATCCAACTCATTCTGGTAATTGAATGCCCTTAGTTTAACTTCTGAAATCGTGACCTTTAATTCTCAGGGAATCAGATCAATCAATAAGCTTTCTCACTGTCAATAGGACTGCAATCAACGTTACCACTCAAAGGAGAGAGGAGGCAGGAAAATAAATTTTCATACATAACAGTATGGGAAATTCACACCAATTACCTAAAGTAATTCCATTTTCATTTTTCACTGACAGTGGAAAATCAAGGATCTCCGGACATATGAAGAAACCAAGAACATGAATAAAATAGCCAAGATTAAAAAACACAATGATAGAAAAAAAAAAAGACAGATGAATGGTATATTTTAAGATATGAAAGAAAATGTTATTAAAAATATAAAAATATAATCATTATGTTTGGAAAAAATGAATATATATTGCACTCATAAATTAAGGACAGAACAATTTCAAAATTTCAAAGAATAAAAGAAACATTTTAAAATGTGTCTAGTAATCCCTTCCTTTAGAAAAGTTTGCTAAAAACATTGGAAAATGTTTCAGAGGCTGAAGTGTCTCGAAGCTCAGTTCTTGGACCTGTTCGCTTGATGCATTCACTCCTTTGGACAGCTGATGTGCACCCACAGCATTGCATACTAGTCAAAATTCTGACAATCTCCAAATGTCTAGTTCCATCCTGTAGGTCTCCTTTGACCTTCGGACCCAACATCCTACTTGTCACTTCTATAGGTATCCCAAACTTAACACATTACAAAGACAAATGAAGAACTCCCCTAAACCAGTTTCTCTGCCAGTCTTTGCCATTTCAGTAAGTACCAACTCTATCCTTCCCTTTGATCAGGCCAAAGATACTGGATTTATTTTTAACTCCTTTCTTTCTCTGACATATCATATCCAAACTAAAATCAAAATAATTCAATTTTGCTTTCAAAATATATAATAAATCCAACCACTTCTCTACCTCTGACTACTACTGCCCTGATCAAATACCACCATGGTCTCTCACATCAGTTATTTTAATAGCTGCCATAATCTCTGCTTCTCCGTGTAGCTCTGTAGTCCCTTTCCCAAAAGAGCAGTCAAGTAAGCACTTTCAAAGTAATTCAAATCACGTAACTCTGCTGCTCAAATATTTCCAGTGGCCTCCCAATCCATTCAGAGTATAAGTCAAAGTCCTTATCATCTGCCTGGTCCCGGAACCCTTCAATGTTCTTCTTCTACTCCTACCCCTTATTCTATCAGTCACTCTGGCCTCCTCACTGTTCCTATACACTCCAGGCAGGAAACAGCAAAAAATAAAATAAAAACAGTAAATGAAATATTGTACAGTGAAGGCAATTGAAACAATATAACAGGAAAAAAAACCCGATGGCCAGATTAATAAAACAACTATAATTTTCCCTATGAAAATTGGAGTTATTTTGATCATTTTAAAATTATACTTTGGACTCAAAATCACCTTAATTTTGCCACTTACCCTATTCAACCTCAGATTCAGATTAATGGAGTTATAACTAAAATCTAATTAGCAGCTGAAAAGTTGAAAGCTGTAGATGTGTAGATATTAAAGATTATTCATTTAGCAGAATTATGAAAGTCATCCACAGGTGATATATCACACTACTTAAATTGAAAGTGACAGAAATAGAAGGTACCTGAGGAAGTGAATGAGTCAGCATTAGAAAGCATTTTCCAAGTTCAGGTCCTTTTATTTAATAGTTATTTAAGTATAGTCTCTATAAGACTTTTTTTTTTTCTGAAATTGCCTCATAATTCCAAAATCCCTCTTTAAAATTCCTCTTTTCATACTGCAGTATTTGTGAAAGGTTAAACCAGGCAACTTGTCACATCTCTGACTTCAGAAATATTTGCCATAATTTGCTTCTGGAAAATTAGCAACACTATATGTAAATATTCATTCTCCTACATTCAAATTAGCATGGAGTGGAAAATCTTTTTGAAGATGATTCTGGAAAACAAAAATATTGTGTAATTTACAAATAAAAATATTTTCTTACTCAGATCAAGTACGAAAGGAAAATTTCATTTCAAAAATGGCACAAAAATATAATCTAATCTAACACACCCTGTTATTTTGATTTTGCCTCACATTTTATCCTTCAAAATAATCTAAAATGATTAGGTAGTTTATTGCTTATCCCAAAGATCTGGCCTTTGTGAAATATTGTGTTCAATATTTACATCAATATTATTAATAATACAACACCAAACCCATAATTTCTCCCATAACTCTCAACAAATGATCTTGCAGCTTCATTCATGGAAAAGCAGAAAAGCTATACATAGGAAAGATCTTCAACTTCTTGTAACGCAATCTACAAATTTTCATGCATCTATACAAATCTTTCCTTTTTTCCTCTTGTTAAAGAACTTAAATACCCTTCCTAGAGTCAAACACTAATCATTCCATTTGCAGTCAGGATTTGGTACCTTTGGGGTACTTGGCTAAACTCATCTAAGAATTGTTCCTCTCCTGGCTTCACTTATTTGTGGAATTAAGGAATAGCATGGAGGACATTAGGAGAAGGAAGGGAAAAATGAAGGGGGGGAATTGGAGGGGGAGATGAACCATGAGAGATTATGGACTCTGAGAAACAAGCTGAGGGTTTTGTGGGGGGGTTAGGGGGGATGGGTTAGCCCAGTGATGGGTATTAAGGAGGGCACGTATTGCATGGAGTACTGGGTGTTATACACAAACAATGAATCATGGAACACTACATCAAAAACTAATGATGAACTGTATGGTGACTAACATAATAAAAAAAAAAATAGAATTTTTCCTCTCCTGGATTTTCAAGATCTCTTGGTTTCTCCCT